TCTACATACTGCCAGGGAGAAAGGCAATGAAATCTTGGAGCTTAAATGTAATCTGGAGAACAAGAAGGAGGAGGTCGTGTAATTACTGTGCTTTTGCCATTTCTTACAAATTATATCTTCTGATTAACTGTATTAAACAAAACCAAGTACTTACATAACTGTATCTGAGTAAAAAAAAAAAAAAAGTATGTTTTGCAATTGATAAGGAGGTGTTCGTTCTTTTAACTTGTGATTTTTAAGGAATACGTATAGTTGCCATTATCTAAAATAGAAAAATCAAAGATTTTAATTACAATCTAGAAATTTTGGAGTCGCTGATAACAAAGCTATATAATGGTATAATGCCATTAACAATGTATGGGAATACAATTCTTAATAAGGCGAAGGGGCAGAAGGATCTGACTTAACATTCTTTGGGGAGTGGGGTGATGATATTTTTGTTCTCCTGCAACAAAATACATGGCAGAATCAATGGCTGTATTTTGAAAATACTCAGCTTCACTGAGCTTCTGTTTGGGTACCTGAGCAGTTTCTTTAACACCTGTGACAATTGGTCAGGTTTTCTGTGGCACTTAGCTCCACTAAGGCTTGTGGGTTTATTTGGTTATGCATAATCAGAGCAGTTTGGGGACTCTCACTTTTTCATTTAGCTGAATGCATGGGAGCAAAGACTGTTAGAAAACTTAATCATGTATGCTCTTTCTGGAACTTTAGGGGTTTTTTTAAAGTAAAAAACTATGAGATAGGTATTTTCCAAAATAAACTGGACTGGAAGGACAAATTTATACATGGTGTTCTCATTTATTCTTTGAACAGGTTTCCAGAATGGAGGAACAGGTAAACAGCTTAAAACAGTCAAATGAAAATCTTCAGAAGCATGTGGAAGACCTTCTGAATAAACTGAAGGAGGTAAGACAACTTGAAATATATGTGAAATATATGCGTTACAGTTGCTTCTACAAATTAAATTAGAAAATGTGTCAAATAGAAATAGTGGAATGCTCCCGCACCCTGTCTCTTCTTTAATTTACTAGGCAAAAGACCAGCAAGGTGGTATGGAGGAAAGATTTCACAATGAACTGAATGCCCACATAAAATTATCCAATTTGTATAAGGTGAGTTTTACTTGGGGCTGAATCTTAGCATTAAATGTAATGCAGGCCAGTTTTGTGTTTGTTTTCCCCACAAAATGTGGATGTGGGGAAGACTTAACTTCCATTGCAAAACGTTGTGAAACATCTAAAACATTTTCTTTGCTGCTGTCTTAGGCAGCTTTTGAAATCTTACATTGCTTGGGTCATTTTGTAGATTAAGTAAAAGTGGGGTTAAAATAGTAACTTTATGCTCGTGGTTTTGAGGCTTCATGTTGTATGGATGTGGTTATGTCTTGCGATGTTGTATTGGGAGGTAAAGGTTTGTATGTAAAATACGACTATGCAAGAGATTTTTCTGAGTTTGGTTAGCAGAAGTTAATTTCAAATAACATTGCAAGTGTTAGTGGTCTGATTAAGACACAGCTGAATGTCATGTATTGGGTCAAATAAGCACCATCTAAACAAGTGATGTTTGTTTGTTTTGTCGGCTCAGAGTGTGAAAAATATCCTATAGCATATTGACTGAGGCAAAGTCACCTAAAGAGGACAACCGATTACTCTTTAGTTTACCCAGGTTAAATGAGTTCTGTTTCCTGAGTTTTATTGCATAGATACCCGCATAAACATTCTACCCTGCGTAATTCTGAGTTCTGCATTAATACTTTTGTCTGATTAGACGTAAACTGATATCCCTTCATTGAACAGCAAGTCAATAGCTAGCTTTTCTGGAGCATAATGCATTACTATTTACTTTTTAATTTTGTTTTGTTTGTGGTGTTTTGTTTTTTTTTTTTACTCCTATTCATTCATGCTTTTATTACAGAATCATTGATTTGAAGGGGCTTAAAGGTTTGTCTTCCGCTTAATGTAGGCTTTGCTGCGTACTTGTAACTGCTGACATATTTGTCTGACCTGATATTAAAAGCATCGAGATTGAGTGCCCTCCCATGAGAGCCTATTCTGAGACTTCGCTGATTAGCAAAAGTTGAATTAACTTTATTTCAGTTGTCTCTAATGGACTTGCAGAATTGCTGAAGTATTGTACAGTCTTGCACTTCTGAGATATTTAGCTGGAAGCAAAGAAATATAAACTGTTTATATAAGATTCCCTAAAAATACCAAATTTTTCAGAATGATCATAATTGAGTACTTAAAATTCCTCCAGATTTTCTTTAGTGAAGAGAAGGAACAAAGCCAGCACTAGCTATAAAGCAGCTAAAGGGCATACATTTTATTTGGATTTGTCATATCAAATCAATGTCTGACACTTCTTACTCTCAGATGGGCAGTTTGTGTCAAAGTGAGACTTAATCCAAGTGGAAAGAGAATTGTCCAGTTTAGGTGAATCTTTCAGCATTTCACTCAAAAGCTGCATGTTCATAATTTTCGGTCAGTTTGAGCTTTCTTATAAAAATATTGTTATTACTGTGTAATAAAAGGTTAAACAAAATGCTTTTATTTAGAGTGCTGCTGATGACTCAGAGGCAAAGAGCAATGAACTGACAGGAGCAGTAGAAGAGCTGCACAAGCTGCTGAAGGAAGCAGGTGAAGGTAAGCTGTGGGTGAGAAATGGCAGATGGAACAGAACAGTTACGCTCCTTTGTAACTGCCTTGACGCATTGAAAAATAGGTATTGAGTGTTTATGAAAAGAACTTCATTAGGCTTTTGGGATGGTGGAAACGTCAGTCACTTTGTAACAAAAATTTTATGTGACTTTACTTGGGAGGGTGTGTGTGGGGAGGAACTATCTTCAAATATACCTGGAATTTTACTTTGGATTTTGATGAGAGGATCTGATTTTGCAAGATGTGTTTTCATTTTAGTTTCTTGTTTTAGATTCCTTTTCACTGATAAAAGGACAGGTCATATTTTAGCCCTCTTCTAAGCAAAGGTGATAGGCAGCAGTTCATGCTTCTGTCATGCTACTGAGTTTTCTCATCAGCATGAGCTTCTGCAGATCATATAAAGTTAAAGTAAAATTTAAGGTACATATGCAAATTTTGGTCTTTTTAAAAGGAAAAAATACAAACAACCACAACACAACAAACTGCTTGTCTGATTTGATTTTAGCTAATAAAGCAACCCAGGAGCATTTGGCTGAGATGGAAGAGTCAAAAGCTGTAATGGAAAAAGAACTGAGAGAGAAGATCAGTAAACTGGAAAAGGAGCTGGAGAATGCTAATGATTTACTGTCTGCTACAAAGCGTAAAGGTAGGGGTCACATTGGGAACTAAAATACCTAAAGCCTCAGGCTTTCTATTGTAAGTGGTCTTGCATGAAAATACTATGCTGAATTTCTATAGGAAGTAAGTGCATTAATCTTAATTCATCTTTGGTCATTTCTAATCATGAATTTTAAAAGCTTTTTCATGTGTGTATGTGTGTGTATATATCTATTTTTTTTCCCCACCAGAAAGTGCATTTCTATCAAAATGGTTTTTGAAGTTCTTTTGTTAATCTGACTTACCTTTTCAAAGAAAAGGGAGAGGAAACGTTTCTTTAAGGCTGAATCATGCTTTTAATGGTTTTCTGGAGAGGGGAGTGGGGTTGATAAACTGCTTACTTTCCTCTTAAAAAAAATTTTAAAAGCAATGGAAAGCAAACCTCTGTCCTTAAATTTCTATTTGACATTAAATCTTGCTCAATATCCACTGTTCTAGTTCTATCATTTTTGTGTTAAAGAAGAGTCTGTTTGCTGCATATAGGTTATTTCTAAAGGAAAGAGAGATCAGAGCAGGAAGGAACAGAGAGACATGAAGTATATCTGCTATCTCCCTATGTTAATTTAGTGAAAGTAAACAAGTGCTTTGCCACAGTAAACCTCCTGCAGTTTGCTGAGAAATCTGATGTTAAGCTTTGCTCCAGCGATTTCAATTGCTTACGTTCAGAAATCATCTAAATTTTAAAAGTCTGATAGCAAAAGCTTTTCAGCATTTCAAATTAATAGTCAGAGACCTTGATAATGTATGACATGGAATATTGTATATAATACCAGTCACTTGCACATATATATGTATAATATAGATGACAGAAAACTCTTAAACCAGCAACTTTAAGGACTTAAAATAGTGATTTAAAATACAGTAGTTATAAAGCACAAAGGTGTGTGAAGACATTCTTTATATTAATAAAGAATATTTATGATGGGAATTATTCCAGTTTTTAATGGTAATTGGTGGGATTATGTCTTCAGGAGCCATATTGTCTGAGGAGGAACTGGCAGCTATGTCTCCCACTGCTGCAGCAGTAGCTAAAGTAGTCAAGCCTGGAATGAAATTAACTGAGGTAAGTGAGAAGAAACTCCTCAATTTCAAGGCCCTTGAAATGCCAACAGAAATACGTTAATAATATAAGGGTGCAGGCTTCATTCACTGTTTTGGACTTGGTGTAATGCCTGACTGAAGTCGATGAAATTTTTGCATGCATTTCAGGCAGACTTTGCTAGCTAAGTTATTGGGATTTTTTTCAATATACCTTACAGTTTTTCTTAGTAGGTGAAAACATTTGTAGGGTCTTTTGGTTCTGACGTGTTTTTGTGTACATAAATTTTTGCATTTTTGGCAGGAGCTTTTTTTTTTTTTTAATTGGTACTGCTGCACATTTGGCTTATACTTGCAGGAAAAAATTAACATAGTGATAGGTTGTAAATATTCTAGGGGTATTTTTACACTTTTATTTATGCATTTATTATTTTTATTTTGTTTGTTATTGGTCATTTTGTCCAGCCATTAAATTACTTTCTTCTGTGCTTGCTGCTTTCTTTTGTGATGCTAGTTTTGATGTTTCTGTTGTCTTAAACTTGCTTAAGATCTGTCCATTTTACATAGAATTCTTTTATTGCATACAGTTGCACTATAAAAGTTTGCCATTTTAAAATTAATAGGGATAAACTGCTTTGCCATGGTATGAGTCCTAAAACCACATTTTTTTAAAAGTCCAACTTGTTTCTCTGAATTAATTAGTTTAGAGTTTTATAAAATTATACCACCTTAAGGTATGAATTATGTAATTACTAGTGGTTCTTTGATACATCTGGACAGGCATATTTAAAAAAAAAAATCTTTTGTTGCAGCTGTACAATGCATATGTAGAAACTCAGGATCAGTTGCTTTTGGAAAAGCTGGAGAATAAGAGAATCAATAAATATTTGGATGAAATAGTGCAGGAAGTAGAAGCCAAGGCACCAATCTTAAAACGCCAGCGTGAAGAATTTGAGCGTTCCCAAAAAGCTGTTGCTAGTCTGTCTGCAAAGCTTGAACAAGCTATGAAGGTCAGTATAAAATAAAAGAGCATGTAAAATTACGGAAAAATGGATTTTTAATTCTTTAATCCTAATTACTGTTAGTAAATGTATAAAATGGATCTTTTGGTCAACTTTTTGTGGGAAAATATCTGTTGAACTTTCTAGCTTGTGATTTATTGGACTGCATGCAGTATTTTACAGAAACAACATTTTTCAGAGATTTTTATAGTGAAGGCTTAAATATGGTGACTTACAATCTCTTGATTTTCTGAGAGAGTAGAATTCTTTATAAACAAAGTCCAAAGAAATAAAATTGGACTTCGGTGCCCCCTTCCCATTAATTTTGATACATACACTAATACAGCATGAAAGAGCATGGTTTTTGATTCCTAAATATGTGGAGTTTAACCTTTGGAGTGTAACTTTAAAGACGTGAAACGTAGTTTGATTCACAAGGCATGTCTCTCTAAATTACATTATCCCTCTGGAAAGAAATGTGTCTGAGTTTAATTGCTACGTGTTTCTTAATGTTTGTATGCTTGCAGGAAATCCAGCGATTGCAGGAGGACGCTGATAAAGCCAATAAGCATGCTTCTCTGCTTGAAAGAGAAAACCAGAGACTGGAAATACAAGTAAAAGACCTTTCACAGCAGGTAGAACAAATATTGCTATGGTTAAATTACTATTTGCAATTTATTTATTAACATGGTGCTGTATTTCTGAAGGTTACTTGGAAGTTTTGTTCAGCCACAGTCATGTACACTTTGGTTGTCATAACAGCCTTAGTGATGTTAAAAACTTCTCCTTTGGAAAATGTGATATTTACATTTCTGCTTACAAAATTAGAATAAGTTTAGCTGGATAGGAGTGATGCTCCTTTAGGATAATGTTGTTAAACATCTAAGTGGAAAACTTGTATATACGACTTCTTTGTTTGTTTGATTGGAATGTCCTGTGATCTGTTCGCAGAACTGAGCACAGAATATCTACTTCTGATTTTGATGTGGTTTCCTTTTGTCAAACTGTTTCTTCTATAATGTAATTATCTTATGAGTATTAATTGATTGTAATAGTTTGTATGTTGTAGGAAAAAATTTACTTAATTTCCAAGTACTTTAACATACTGTTTTTCAGAGTGAACTTTTGAATCTGTGTGCAAGTCTTACGCTAGAATGTTCTCTTTCAGATTCATGTGCTTTTAATGGAACTTGAAGAAGCTAGAGGCAATCATGTGATTCGTGATGAAGAAGTGAGCTCCGCTGACATCAGTAGCTCTTCTGAAGTGATATCTCAACATCTAGTCTCTTACAGAAATATTGAAGAACTTCAGCAGCAGAATCAGCGTCTATTGGTGGCTCTTCGGGAGCTGGGAGAGGCTAGAGAAAAAGAAGAGCAAGAAACGACGTCATCTAAGTAAATTATCTGTTCTTTCTAGTAAACTGTTTATACTAAATAGTAACAGATTTATTCAAACACTTCATTTTTTTGCTTCTGATCATTATTAATTGTGTGCATGTGCATATGTAACTGTGCATATGCTCATGAGCATCTATAATTCATAAAGGCAAATCGTTATTAAGAAACGTTGTCTGCAGTTTTAGATTAAAATGGCTTTATAGCTATATGTCTTGTAATAGGTCCTCTCATCAAAATCCAAAGTAAAAATAATTGTCGGTCTTTTATTGAATGTGATTTCACACAACGGAGCTGTTTTTCAAAAAAGATAAGTTTTCATTCCTGTTAGCTGAACAAAAAAATTGAATATGTGCATATCTAATACACTAGCTGTAAACCCGCAGATACTGTAATTCTGCATTTAAAGTTCTTAGCCTGATTCTCTGTTCATGCTACTGACTGTTGGTTGAAGTTATTCACATGAATAGAATTAACTCTGTTCTGCTTTTCATGGAAGAGGCCTGCTTTCTTTGTCATCTACAAAATGGCAAGCCCGAAGGCCAATCTTTCTATAAGTTTGCTCAAAAATCTCAGTGGTGCTTAACTTTCAAAGATGCGATAAACGTACACTGAAGGACTTGGGACAAAATGCAGGGGTTATATGCCTCGCTGTGTATATTACTGAAAACAACTATTGTTGGTTTCAGGATTTCTGAGCTTCAGAGTCAGCTTGAGGAAGCTCTCAATGAGCTAGAAAAACTGCGTGAATCACGTCATCATCAGTTGCAGCTTGTTGAATCTATAGTTCGTCAGCGTGATATGTTCCGCATATTGTTGGCACAGACCACAGGAGCTATCATTCCTTTGCAAGGTAAGCTTCACATCTCTGCAACATTGAGGGGGGAAAAAAAAAAAATTGTCATTTGTTGTGAATTTTCAGTAATGGTGCTCTAATGGTGCTAGTCACTTCTGTTAATCTGGTATTTAACTTTTACCCTTACTCCCTGGAAAACCCATGGATTTGGATTTAGACACAACTTTATTTTTACAGTTTAATAACTTGCTACATAATGACTGAGATGTAGTGGTGACTATGTGTGTTCTGGTTAGCATATTGTAGGTGTAAAGAATGAGTTGCTCAGGAATGCTCAAGACTTTCCCAGCAATACAGTATTGGTTTTAGCCATATTTCAGCATGATTATATGATCTTCTGCTTTGGCAAGCATTCATTCAATTGTTGCCTTTAAAATCCTGTTTATCTTTTCTTAGCTTCAGGTATATTACCAGAGGAGATTTCTCTTACATCTACTCCAAAGCGCCCAAATTTACCTCAAGCAATGTCAACTCCTGCTCCAGTGTCAATGACTGAGTCAGTGGAGACGGTGGAGGCTAAGGCTGCACTTAAGCAGGTATATTTTTCAGTAAACACAGGGGAAAGCTATTACTGTTCCTTTTTACTCTTGTAAGCACTTTAATGTCTATTCTTTGATGTAGTTGCAGGAAGTTTTTGAGAACTATAAAAAAGAAAAGGCGGAGAATGACAAGTTGCTGAATGAACAAAATGAAAAGCTTCAGGAGCAGGTCACAGACTTGAGGTCACAAAATGCAAAGATATCCACACAGCTGGAATTTGCCTCCAAACGGTAAATCAGCTATTTTATTTCATTGCCTTATGTATGTGTTCTCTATCAATAGAATCATGTTGACTCCTTGATATCATTTGCTCAGGAAGAGTTGCCAGTTAAACATTAACATTGTCTATTCTATTAAAGAACACAAAGGAAATGGTGAAAGTGGGATCAAGAGTATACCTTCTAGCCGAGTAAGCCACACGTGTGAAAACTGATGCCAAGAACATGAAACATATGGCTGTGTACATACACCTCTTGCAATTAAACAATTTAATGTGGCAAACATATACTTTGCTTTGTTGTTCCATGTGAAGTTATGAAATGCTGCAGGATAACGTTGAAGGCTATCGTCGAGAAATAACATCTCTGCATGAAAGAACCCAGAAACTCACAGCAACAACTCAGAAGCAAGAGCAGATAATTAACACTATGACTCAAGACCTCAGGGGAGCTAATGAAAAACTGGCAGTGGCAGAGGTTAGTAATACAGTGTATTATACTCCTAGATATGTCAAGTTTGCACAAGAGTTTTTCTTGTGATTATCTTGAAAGCTGTCAGAACTTGAATGTGTGGCCTTTTGAGTGCATCAGCAATTAAATTTGTAAAAGCTTGTGTGCATGTATATTTGGTGCGTACATTTGTAACATTCTGCAAAATATCTCAAGTAGTGAGTGAAGATGGAACAGCATTCCAAAGGTGTTTCAATTTACAGAGAAAACAGAATGTGATTAGTGAAACAGTTGTGTTCTTACTGTTGTTGGCTTAATTTGCATGAATTTTAATTTATAATCTGTAATCTTAAAAGCTTTTTTTGAAAATATTATTAACTGATCATAAAAATAATATTGTCCAAATTAAAATTAATGAACAGATTTGCGATTGATAACAAAGGTCTTGTTATTACTTGCTGTCTTAAAGGTCAGAGCAGAAAACTTAAAAAAAGAGAAAGATATCTTGAAGATGTCAGATGTGCGTTTGACTCAGCAACGTGAATCTTTATTAGTTGAACAAAGAGGACAGAACTTGCTGCTTACTAATTTGCGAACTATTCAGGTATGTGGTATTATTCTTATGTCCAAGTCCGGTCTGTCTTTCAGAGTTTTCAATAAATGCCCATCAAAATCAACTTCAACAGTCATGGGATTGGATCTTAAAGTGGATTTTTTTTTTTTCTGTTACAAATTGACACTGAACATAAAATACTTGGGCAACTTGTTTAAGCAAGTTTGTTATTCCTGTCCTAAATTATGATACTCTGTTATTTGCCTGGGCAAAGTCCTGAGAATTTTGAGTTGATGAGAATGGTTTTCACAATAAAATGGAAACAAAACACATGAAACAAAGTGAAAGGAAAAAAATCTGTATGTTAATTTTTATGATAGCAAAATTTACCTTGGTAGTTTATTTTCCTATTGTTTTAAGGTATATTTACTTACATACTTTTTTATCTTCTATTATAAGGTGTATTGACTATTAGAGCATAAATATTTAAGGTTGCACGTTTTGTCATGTGACTGAATTCTATTTCTGTAGTAGATCTTTTGGGGTTTTTTTAATCCCTGGAATTAGGCTCCATGGATAATAGATTTTCTTCTGATAATACTTACTGTTTTGTAATTTTCTATATCTACCTATTATTGCTTGCTCCCTGCAATAATTATTTTGTGGGTGGGAGGAGTGTTGTGACAACTTTATATGAAGTGCTGCAGTAACTCAGAAGAAAATTATTAAAGTGTATTGTAAGCATAGTACATTATGCTTTTTTATCAGGGAATACTGGAGAGGTCCGAGACAGAAACAAAACAAAGACTCAATAATCAGATAGAAAAGCTAGAGCGTGAGATAGCTCAGCTGAAGAAGAAACTAGAAAGTGAGATGGAACAAAGACATTCCCTTACCAAAAATCAAGAGGTAAGTATAATTGTAAATATGCTAAACTTGTTTTAGTGAAAATAAAACCACAGTTGCATGGCTTCTGCCAGCTTACAGTGCATTGATTTTCATATGTGAAATTTATAAACATACTTGATTTTGTGCCGTTTGTGAATAATTACAAGTTTAAGAACCTTGTATTTTGAGGTTCATATCCTGGATCTTAAGAGGCAACTCGAGACTGAGATAAACCGTCACACAAACACAAAGGAACTTTTGAAGAATGCCCAGAAAGAAACTGCGATGTTGAAACAGCAGCTTAACAATACAGAGGCTCAGCTAGCATCTCAGTCATCCCAGAGGGCTCCAGGGAAAGGTAAGATGTTTTTCTACATTGAATTTCTCTTTAAGTTAACCATTGCTGTCTGCAGACTGGTAAAATTCATAATTCATAATAATTTAGAATTAGGAGGACAGTACACTAAATAATAAACCTCTTCATTATTATGATCACATATTCAAACAAATGGTAACCAGGATGATTTGTTAAAGCAAAATTAATGTCCAATCAGTCTTTGACAAAGGGGAAAAATAAAGCAAAACTTATTAAAGGGTTCTTTTTATTTTTATTTGAAAGAACTTAAGTCTGTTAGGTGACTTTTTTTAAATAGCCAATTTTTTTTGTCTGAATCAACAATGTATATTGTAAGCCACTATTTTGGTTAGGGCTGACAATTTTATTTAGGGAAGTTTTGTGAGGGTGATTGTTTTTTCCATGTTATTATCCTAAAAACACTTCAGTTTTCAACAGAACAGTGGTTTAAAAAACTGAATTAAACTTCATTGGTTAATGAATGTGTTCTAATATTATAGGTCAGCCTAATACAAATGAAGATGTGGATGATCTTGTAAGTCGACTAAGACAAGCTGACGAACAAGTTAATGACCTCAGAGAAAGACTCAAGACTAGTTCTAGTAATGTGGAACAGTACAGGGCCATGGTTCTTAGTCTAGAGGAATCCCTTAATAAGGAAAAACAAGTAAGTAGTTACCATTGTTTATTAGAGCGAAAACAGAAATGAAAGATGGTTTGTTTGGGGTTTTTTTTGCTACAGTACAGTACGGTCTGTAGAATTATGGGAGGAATTACAAAAAACCTAAAGTTAGTTTAGAAGGCATTAGAATATAATGTAGTGAGACCGTATTTTAGACAATTTTGTTAGAAACACTTTTAATCGTGGAAATATTAAACCTTTTTGCAGCATATTTTTAAAACGTTGAATTGTAAATTTGACTGAAAGCTGTACTCTGCCAATGTCTTCCTTTGAAGGAGGGGAATTGACTTTTAAAAACTCTTCCTTATAACCCTGTGATCAATGATTAAAAATATTAATTAGCTCTCAATCAAAAGAAGTTAAATTCACACCTTCTGCGTCACTAAGGTCTTCAGTGATGCAAAAGAACACTGTATGTGGTATTCACGGGAAAAGCTGTAAGAACAGCCTTCCAATCTGTCATATACTCCACTATGTTAATAGCAAACGAAGCCTGTTCTTCCAAGCTGTTCAGCGTGTCAAAATAAGATAGACTGGGGAGACAGAATTCTGGTTTTTTTTCCACTGAAGTTACAGCATCAGTAGACGATGGAGTGCTGTTTGTCTAGTGTCCAAGTTCTCTGCCTGTCTGTGTTCTGTTACTGTAAAAACTTCGTTGTGGCTTGATAGGCTTTAACAGTATTGCAGACTTTAGTGTGTAATAAAAAGATATGCTTGATGCTGCACTCTTGAGTGTAGTCACCTGAAACTGTTCTTAGATGTCCTTCATGAAGTATTGCAGCTTTGAAGGGAAATAAAAAAAAAAAAAAATCTATATTTTCAATGGTATTTGTGATTTTCCACATTTTCAGTTTGTTCTAAGTGAGATGCTGAGAATACCTGTTCTGGCTTTAAATTGTTAATAAAACAGTGGTTTCACATCAGAATACCATATTTTAAGGGAAAAAAACACTGATCTCTTATGATGGGTTTTAATGAAGGTGACAGAGGAAGTTCGTGCAACAGTTGAAACTCGTCTGAAGGAATCTTCAGAGTATCAAGCACAGCTGGAAAAGAAGCTGATGGAGTCAGAGAAAGAAAAGCAAGAACTGCAAGAGGAGAAACGTAAAGCTGTGGAGAATATGGAACAACAGGTATGCACTGAATGCGTCCTCCCTTAAACTCCCTTGTAGAGAGTCCACAAGAATGTGCTTTTACATCATTCCCTAAAATTCAATTTGTTTTCACAGTATAGTAGCATCCAAAACTAAATCTTTTATGATGGCTAACTAAATTTGAGAGGTTTCCAAACATGAGTAGTACATTAACCTTATCACTTTGTTAAGGTGGTTGTGTATTTAAAGCTGTCACTATCTTCCTGAACTTTGAGCACTGTTTGCAGAAAAACACAAGTAAAGCTTTTGAGAAAGGTTTCAGAAAACCCTTTCTGGAACATGAGCCAAAACCAAATTTGTAGCGTACACGTATTTTAAAACTAGAGTGGTCTGTGCCCTTATTTGTTGGGTTTATGTCTGGGCTCTTGTTGGGGTTCAAAGAAACAAGATGACTGCAGCTAGAATTACTGCAGGCCTGACTCTGAAAGAACAGTAACATGTTTTTACCAGGAAAGAGCTCTGTATGTTAATAAGTCAAAATCTTGAAAGTATTTCTCTTTAGATTAAAATTAGTATTAAAAAAAAAAGGTAAATAAAATAACCACCTTTGGTTCTACATTATTCATGACTGTCTGCATTCAAAGCCTTGCTGTGTTCAATACTCTGTGAAATACTTTGCCATTTAGTCTTGGTTTTGTTCTTGTTTTGTTTTTTGTTGTTCCCCCCCACCCCCATCCCTTATAGCTATCAGAACTAAAGAAGAGTCTGTCAACCGTGCAATCAGAAGTTCAGGAAGCTCTTCAGAGAGCCAGCACAGCTCTAAGTAATGAACAACAAGCCAGACGTGACTGCCAGGAGCAAGTATGTAGTATTTGCTTATTTTAGCCAGAGGTAGTAAACTTAATGTTAGTTTTTCATTGTTTTTCAGTTGAACTCAAAACGTTTTTTAAAGGTAGTGCTGCTGGTCAGAGACTTGTGGAGGCAAGAAAAGCGCTGTAAGAGCACTTTCTCTATTTTGTGAACAGCTGCTTATTAGTGCGTCATTCTTCTGCCTGATCAAACATTGTGGTAATATCAATTAAACTGACTTTGAATATAAAGTTGTGCTGCAAGCACAGTTTGTGTCATGTTTAAGAAAACAACAGAAGATGCAATGGATTACTGTTTCTGAGGTCTGTTTCATTATGTAAAAAAATTGATTGGGGAATGTAACTAACTGTTTTTAATGAATTGCTACCTCACTCTTCTGAGGGGAGAGCAAAAAAGAAAACTGAATTCTCACAACAAGACGATGGGGAAAAAATCTTTCTAACCTGAAACATAATTGTCATCTTTTAAAACTGTGGGGCAATTTAATGCTGTGGGGATATTTAGCAGCACCTGATAAGATTGTCTTGTTACCAGCTGTTATTTAAAGGGAATCTACTTTTCTGCAGGTGATAATTCCAGCAACACTGATCAGTGTAAAGGATGTAGAAAAACTTTTGGCTGTTGTTTAATCCAACCCAAAATTTAGTAGACAGGCATTTCCATGTTTTTCAGCTAATACTATGACCATAGTCTGTCCTTAGCTTTTTAACCTCATGCAGTAAATATCTTTGCCCGTTCACATGTAAAAGTAACCAGTGGATGTTCTTAGACTAATACCTGCCTGTTACCCGTGCAGAATCTGCAGCAAGAGGCTTGATTGTAGAGTAACTATAGAAGTACGTCCTCCTTCTAGCTACTCAAAGAAAATTATTTCAAATTCTGATTTTTTTTAAAAAATAGTGATTTCTTTAAGGGAACCATACTAAGCTTATCCGTTTTTGTTTGGTTTTTTTTTTTGTACTTGAGAATGACAAAGTATTTGGCCAGTGATTTTCTTTTTGATTAGTGGTTACTGATTTTGTTTAGAATTTGAGAATCTCTTTGTACATACAGATATAACACTAAAGGTAATAATCTTTTCTTTCTGTTTTTTTTCTTCCTGCAGGCAAAGATGGCTTCTGAAGCTCAAAATAAATATGAACGGGAATTAATGCTTCATGCTGCTGATGTTGAAGCATTACAGGCTATTAAAGACCAAGTTGCCAAGAATGCAGCGGTAAGGCAGCAGCTAGAGGAAGCTGCTCAGAAAGCTGAGTCTGAATTGTTGGAGTGCAAAGCCTCCTGGGAAGAGAGAGAGAGAATGATTAAGGTATGATTGGTTTTATGGTTTCAGTGGTTTTTTCAGTTAACAGAAATTCAGCCACAGAATTCACAGCCACTGAACAATTTTGTTGTAGGATGAAGCTTCAAAACTTGCATCCCGCTGTGAAGATTTGGAAAACCAAAATCGATTGTTACATGAACAGCTGGAAAGTCTGAGTGATAAGATGGTGACCTCTATGAAAGAAGCCATGCCAACTGCAGTGAATGTTTCTCTCAATGAGGAAGGCAAATCCCAGGAACAAATCTTAGAAATTCTTAGGTAAATCTAGCTCTGGGCTCATTCTCTCAGTGGTTGTAAATTGGTTGCCAAATTAAATAGTTCTGTAGGATAATGTATAAAATTTAAGCGCTTTTTTGCTACGTAGGAGGTGGTTGTTCTACGTCAGTACCTAATAGAGGAGATTTCTTTCTACTCCTAGGAAAAAAACGTGAGTCAATTATGACAGGAAGCTAAATCAGATTTTAGCAAATGTGATTGGCAAGAAAGTGTCATAGAGGTGATTTTTTCTCATTGTTTTTAGGCGGCTTATGTAGATTGTCAAGAATTTTTATCTAGGATTTTCTTTTTGACCTTTCTGAACCAATTTCTCAGTAGACCTTCAGATATAAAATGCTTCAACTTAAAATGCTTTGTCTTGCATTTTCGTTGGCATGATGCTTTGTTCATTTTCTTATTGCAGATTTATACGTCGAGAAAAGGAGATTGCAGAAACTAGATTTGAGGTGGCCCAGGTGGAGAGTTTGCGTTACCGTCAGAGAGTGGAGCACCTGGAAAGGGAACTCCAGGAATTGCAGGACAGTCTCAATGCTGAGAGAGAGAAGGTGCAGGTATGGTTGGATATTATTGGTTATAATTTCAATAAGTAGAGAGAGGGCTGTTCTCTGTGTTCTACTCTTTGTCTTTGATGCCTGTGCCCAAAAATGGAGAGTTTTGGAAGAATTGGGAGCTTTTAAACTGAGGTTGTTATATAGCCAAATGGAGGGTCTTGTTCTGAGTCCTGTGAAGCAGTGTGGCAATTCCAAAATCACATAAATAGGGAAAATAAAGATAATTTCTCTCATTTTTTTTCCCCATCTCCTATTTCTTAAGCGATATTTACTTGTTTTGAATGTACATGTGGCATAATGAATGCCATGGTAGCTTTCAAAGATGGTGTTATGCGAGGTCTGGGTAAGTATATGTGCATGTGCAAGCAAAACAAATGACTGAGTTTAAATCTTTTCAAAAGGTAACAGCAAAAACCATTGCACAGCATGAAGAATTAATGAAAAAAACTGAGACCATGAACGTACTGATAGAAACCAACAAGATGCTAAGAGAAGAGAAGGAGAGGCTAGAGCAAGAGCTACAACAAATTCAAGCAAAGGTTAGTACTGAGTTTCACATATATTTTTCAGATATTCGAGCTGATGAATTAACATCTGGATATATCATTGCTAACTACAATAAATACATTATTTACATTGTGATTATTCCTTTATGACATATACAAATGAGGAAACTTTCCATTTAGAATTTTAGAAGACGTTGGTCCCCCTAGAATATTGGAAAGGTTAACTGAACTGTTTCATTTAAATGAAACTCAAAATCGGCATTTAACCTTGGCTAGAGGTATACCGGTAACAAGGATATTATCAGCAGATAGATGAAAAACAGGAATACATATAGAGCAGACCACAGCTTTATTAAGAGTTTAAAAGGGAGATGCATGCCTCTTCCCATTTCTACATGTCAGTTATTTAATGGAATCCAGTGCAGTGTTGCTTGGCTTCTAACATGTAGTTAATAATTGATTTCCTGTACCGAAGTACGAAGAGTGAGAATCTAAGATTGTGAAGGCATACCTATGGGTTTTTTTTTCCTCTCTGTAGGATCATCCCCTCCTCTTGCTCCTCATCCTTCTCCCTGCCCCAAGCTGACCACTGAAAGGCAGAGAGTTGGAAAAGAAGCTATGTCATGACTTCTTGAGGGTGTTGGTTTTGCGTTCTCTGTCCCTCTTACCATCATTGTTCAAGGCCTACCATATTCCATTTCCTTCAATCTCTTAAGATCCAGAGAGTTTAATCCCCAGTTGTGTTTTTTCAGGTACGCAAGCTTGAGGCAGACATTCTACCTCTACAAGAGTCTAATGCTGAACTAAGTGAGAAAAGTGGAATGTTGCAGGCAGAGAAAAAGCTGTTGGAAGAAGATGTTAAACGCTGGAAAGCCCGGACCCAGGTGGGGAATGCATGTTTTCAGGGAAGGTGTTGTGGAAAAAAAAAAGAACTAAAAAAACAAAAGAGTTCTAAAATTTCTTAAAAACAACAACAAACTAAGAAATGTATTTGAATTATAAAGCATTGTTTATGTAGCTTCAAAATAGGCTATTCTAATTCATAGGCATTCCAATTCAAAATGCAAAAGCAATAGCTCTAATTCAAAGAGATTTTCTGGATATAACTGTATAATCATCTTATGAAAACGCAAACTATTTTCTCAACCTTTCAGCATTTATTGAGTCAACAGAAGGATACTGATCTCGAAGAGTATCGGAAGCTGCTTTCAGAGAAGGAGGCGAACACCAAGCGTATACAACAAATGAGTGAAGAAACAGGCAGGCTTAAAGCAGAAATAGCCAGGTGTGGTATAAGTCAATTAGTAAAAAGTTTTGTGCAAAGCAAAGTATTTTAAATAAAGCTGTATCTGGAAGTGTAACTTCTTAACTGTCTCCGTGTAACTATAAAACCTTTGGTATTCTTAGTGTAGGTTGGTAATACGCAGATGAAATGAAGTGAGAATTGTTTTGGAAACTGTCTTTTAGCTGAACTTATTCTAAACTAATCTATTGTAGAATAATTTGTATATTGCAAAATCCTAGAAAACATAATTCACTACAGATAATGCCTGTGATATTACATAAAAATCAATACATTTCAATATTGCTCAATGTCAAACATCTCATTTGCATCTTCCTCCAATCTCTTGTTATTTAGAACTAATGCATCCTTGACTACAAGCCAGAATCTTGTTCAGAGCCTCAAGGATGAAGTAACCAAAGTAAGAACGGAAAAGGACACTTTGCAGAAAGAACTAGATGCTAAAGTGGCTGACATACAAGAAAAAGTGAAAACTATAACACAGGTCAAGAAAATTGGGCGCAGGTACAAGACTCAATACGAGGAGCTGAAAGCACAGCATGATAAGGTAGATGTGCTTTTTCTTTGTTTCCAAAGAAATTCTGTAAAAAACTTGTATGTTTTCATCTAGAGTCATGCATAATCTAGCTGATGATCTTCATGTTCCCTTAGTATAATACTGTATGAATACTTAATCTGTGAAGAGAAAAGCAGAAAATTACATTGTTTATTCTGTTGTTAGCTCAAACTGCCACAAAGCATGAGCTGCGTATCACTTAATACTTTGCAGTATTCTTAACAGAACTTTAGCCTTCATTAGAATTCCTGGGTTTTGCTCTTTTGCCCAGAACATTTTAAACAATTGGTTTACATGCAGAAGCAACTTGTGAAAGTAATGACATTCTAATCAGATAGTACCCTTTAGCCTGATACCACTTGACGTATTTCAGATGGTTGCCAAAGCGTCAACTCAGTCTCTTGTAGAACAACAAGAAGAACAAGTTTCTGTCCAGGAAGTACAAGAGCTGAAAGACACTCTCAGTCAAGCTGAAGTGAAGACAAAGGCTTTGGAGACTCAGGTTGAAAGTTTACAAAAGGTAAGAACAGCATGAATAAGGTAAGAACAGTGAACAATTTCAGAGTATTGTGCTCTACTGCAATCTTAAATGCATAACTGAAGAATGTGAGGGTGTTTTTCTGTGTGTGTGTGCGCATGTGTGCACAGAAATTATTGTGAAGTGACCTATTTGTGCCTCTACCTTGTTGGGAAAGAGGGACCTTAAACCTGGTTTAAATCCTGTGTTTAGTGTGTCTCATGCTGTTTCTTGGAATAAATAAGTGGAAAAGAGACTGCTGTTCTCTCAACTGTTGCATTCAGAGAGGACTGGCCTTCTCTATTGTTGATTAGAAGATTAGATTTTTAACCTTATTACAGTGGCCAGCTAATACTAGGTCCTTGGAGCTTGTTAGGCTATATATTTGCCAGAGTAGCTGATTATGGCCAATAGCTGCAATCTCTCTCTCTCTCTCTAGACTATAGCAGAAAAGGAAACTGAAGTTAGAAATCTTCAGGAGCAGATAACGCAGCTACAATCAGAACTTGCTCGTTTTCACCAAGATCTGCAAGAGAAGACTACGCAGGAAGAACAGCTCAGGCAACAGATCACTGAGAAGGAAGAGAAAACTCGGAAGACCTTGCTTGCGGCCAAGCAGAAAATTGCACAGTTAGCTGGTATTACAATATTTTTTCTGTCCTTAAGGTGTCTTTTTCTGTTTGGGTTTTTTATTATTCCTATGGAAAAGCATTTAGACAGGATGCTTAGGAAAATACGGCCTACTTCATATTTTACTGAAAAGTTTTTTCTAGATTAGATGTTACAGGAATTCTTCTAAAACTTAAATTTTACTTTTATCGTCTCCTGAAGGAATTATGTAACTAGAGGTACACTGGAGGTAAAAAAAGTTTTGCTTAGTTTTAGCCAGCCAATGTGATAACCCCCATTTTTTATCCTTTTGTTGATTAGAGCAGATTGACCCTACTAACATTTCAGGTAATTGTCCCCTTCCCTAAGCATAGGGGTCTAAAACATACTGTCTCCTCTATTTTTAATTGAGAGGAGTTGAGAGGAATGATGGTGTAAGAGCTTGCTGAAAACATCTTACTCTTTTGTGACTACTTTATTTAATTTTTTATTTAT